CTACATTGGGCTTTTGCAGTCTGTGGAGTTTTCCTTTCCTTTTTTTTTTCCTCTTTTTTTAATATTAATTTTAGTTTTTTAAACCTATTATTTTTTCTACATTTTTTCCTTTGTTTGCTTTTCCTACTGCTCTTTTCCCCTTGCAGTTAATCTTTAATGTATATAAATCTTCTTTATCTACCTCTACTTAACTTTGCATATCCTTTCTTTCTTTTCTTTCTCTCCTTTCCTCTCAACGTATTTGTTAGCTTTGTTTTCATTGCTTTATTCCCCACTTGTCACCTTGCTTTAGTTTTGTTTTCCAGTTTGTACTTTCATTAGATTTGTTCTTAACTTGTAGATATAACTTTTGGTTTCCTTTGTTCACCAGGTCAATCTATTGAACTTTATTTTTGTTTGGACTCTTTTGATTTTACTTATGGGTGTATATGTATATGTGTATATTCAGTCACACTTTTTATTGTTGTTATAAACCTCTGACTCTACATTGGGCTTTTGCAGTTCTGTAAAGTTTTCCTTTTTTTTTCCTTTTCTCTTTTTTATAATTTTAATTTTTTTAGGCCTACTATATTTTTTCTAAATTTATTCCTTTTTTGCCTTTCCTACTGTTATTTTCCCCTGGCAGTTAATCTTTAGTGGATATGAATCTTTTCATCTACCTTTATTTAACTTTGCATACCTATACTTTTTTTTCTTTCTTTTCTTCCCAACATATTTGTTAGTTTTGTTTTCATTCCTTTATTCTCCACTCAACACCTTGCTTTAATTTTGTTTTCCAGTTTGTGCTTTAGTTAGTTCTGTTCTTAACTGGTAAATATAATTTTTGATTTCCTTTATTCTCTGGGTCAATCTACTCTAATTTATTTTCGGTGGACTATTCTGATTTTGCTTATGGGTGTATATGTGTATATTCCACTATTTTTATTATTTGCCTAATTTTGTAACTGACATTTGTCTGGGGTTCATCTCGAGTTTCTCATTATTGGGTATTTGTTTTAATCTCACTTAATGCCGTAACAAACCACTTGTGAAATCTTTGTTCCTGACCAGAGATCAAGCCCTGAGCCTTTGGAATGGGAGCACTGACTCCAAGATCCTAGACTACCAGAGACCTAGCTCTAGGGAGTATCAGATAGTGAGAACTCACACAAAGGAAGCCATTTGAATACAAGACCTGGCATCACCCAACCACCAGTAGTACCCTGTGCAGGATTAAACAACAAACAAAACAAAAATACAAAGCCAGTCATTAGCAGACAGGACTACCACCTCACTCAGCCTTGTCCACCAGTGGAAAAACAAACAAACAAACAAAATACTCATCACAAATCTCACCCTACACCAAGCTTACACAAACCACTGGACCAACCTTAGGAGGGCAGAAACCAAAAGGAAGAGAGAATTTAACCTTGAAGCTTGGGGAAAGGAGACCTCAAACACAATAAGTTTTAAAAAGTACTAATGAAAAGGCAGATAAATACTACACAAGTGAAGGAACAAACTAGAAACACCAAAGTCCAAATAAATGAAAAGGAAATAGGCAAACTACCTGAAAAAGAATTCAGAATAATGATAGCAAAGATGATCAAAAACCTTGAGAACAAAATGGAGAAAATGCAAGAATCAATTAACAAAGACCTAGAAGAATTAAAGAATAAACATACAGAGACAAACAACACAATTACTGAAATTAAAAATACTATAGAAGCAATCAATAGCAGAATATCTGAAGCAGAAGGATGAATCAGTGAGCAGGAAGATAAAATGTTGGAAATAACTTCTGAAAAGCAGAATAAGATAAAAAGAGTGAAAGGAACCTCAGGGCCCTCTGAGAGTATATCAAACACACCAACATTCGAATTATAGGGGTCCCAAAAGAAGAAGAGAAAAAGAAAGGGTATGAGAAATTTTTTGAAGAGATTATAGTTGCAAATTTCCATGTCAATGTATGACAAAACCCACTACAATATTGTAAAGTAATTAGCCTCCAACTAATAAAAATAAATGAAAAAAAAAAAAAGAAAGAAAATTTCCCCAATATGGAAAAGAAAATAGTCAATCAAGTCCAAGAGGCACAAAGAGTCCCATACAGGATAAACCTGAGGAGAAACATACCAAGACACACCAAGACACATACTAACCAAGCTAATAGAGACTAAACACAAAGAAAGAATATTAAAAGCAGCAAGGGAAAAGCAAGAAGTAACATACAAGGAAACCCCATACATTTAACAGCTGATCTTTCAGCAGAAACTCTGCAGGTCAGAAGGGAATGGTAGGATATATTTAAAGTACTGAAAGGGAAAAATCTGCAACCAAGATTACTGTACCCAACAAGGATCTCATTCAAAATTGATGGAGAAATAAAAAACTTTTCAGACAAGCAAAAGTTAAGAGAATTCAGTGCCACCAAACAAGCTTTACAACAAATGTTAAAGGGACTTATATAGTCAAGAAACACAAGAGAAGAAAAAAGATCTACAAAATCAACTCCAAACAATTAAGAAAATGGCAAACATAATTACTTTAAATGTAAATGGATTAAATACTCCAATCAAAAGACACAGACTGGCTGAATGGATACAAAAACAAGACCCATATATAGATATGTCTATAAGAAACCCACTTCAGAGCTAAAGACACATACAGACTGAAAGTGAAAGGATGGAAAATTCCATGCAATTTGCATATTCCATGCAAATGGGAAGCAAAAGAAAGCTGGAGTAGCAATCCTCATATCAGACAAAATAGACCTTAAAATAAAGAAGATTACAAGAGATAAGGAAGAACACTACATAGTGATCAAGGGATCTATCCAAGAGGAAGACATAACAATTGTAAATATCTATGCACCCAACATAGGTGACCTCAATACCTAAGACAAACACTAACTGACATAAAAGGAGAAATTGACAGTAATACAATAATAGTAGGTGACATTAACACCCCACTCACACCAATGGACAGATCATAAAAACAGAAAATTAATAAGGAAGCATAAGTCTTAAATGATACATTAGATGAGATGTATCTCATTGATATCTTCAGGACATTCCATCCAAATGCAGAAGAGTACACCTTCTTCTCAAGTGCACATGGAACATTCTCCAGGATAGACCACATTTTGGGTCACAAATCATACCTCAGTAAATTTAAGAAAATTGAAATCATATCAAGCATCTTCTCCTAGCACAATGCTATGAGACCAGATATCAGTTACAAGAAAAAAGAACTGTAAGAAACACAAACACATGGAGATTAAACAACACATTTCTAAATAACCAACAGGTTACTGAAGAAATCAAAGGTGAAATCAACAAATTTCTAGAAAGAAATGACAATGAAAACACAACTCAAAACCTATGGGATGCAGCAAAAGCAGTTCTAAAGAGGGAAGTTTTTAGGAATACAATCCTACCTCAAGAAATAAGAAAAACATCGAACAGACAACCTAACTTTACACCTAAAACAACTGGGAAAAAAAAAGAAAAAAAGAAAACCCCAAGATTAGTAGGAGAAGGAAAGAAATCATAAAGATCTGAGCAGAAATAAATGAAAAAGAAATTAAAGAACCAGTAGTAAAGATTAATAAAACTAAAGCTGGTTCTTTGAGAAGATATACAAAATTGACAAACCTTTAGCCAGACTCATCAAGAAAAAAAGAGAGAAGAATCAAATCAACAAAATTATAAATGAAAAAGGAGAGTTTACAACAGACACTGCAGAACAGTAATGATTATAAGAGACTATTATGAATGACTATATGGCAATAAAATGGATAACCTGGAAGAAATGGACAGATTCCTAGAAAAGTTCAAGCTTCCAAGACTGAACCAGGAAGAAATAGATATTATGAACAACTCAATTACAAGCACTAAAATTGAAGCTGTGATCAAAAATCTCCCCAAAAATAAAATCCTAGGACCAGATGGCTTCACAGGAGAATTCTATCAAACATTCAGAAAAGACTTAATGCCTATTCTTCTAAAACTCTTTCAAAAAATTGGGGAGGAAGGAACACTTCCAAACTCATTCTATGAGGTCACCATCACCCTGATACCGAAACCAGACAAAGAACACACAAAAAGAAAACTTAAGGGCAATATCACTGATGAACATAGATGCAAAAATCCTCAACAACATTTTAGCAAACAGAATTCAGCAACACATCAAAAAGCTTATACACCATGATCAAGTTGGCAAGGTAGGCAAGGTAGTTATTCCAGGTAGGCAAGGATTGTTCAGTGTACGTGTATCAATTAATGTGACACACCATATTAACAAATTGAAAGACAAAAACCGAATGATAATCTCAACAGATGCAGAAAACGCCCTGACAAAATTCAGCACTCATTTATGATTAAAACTCCTCAAAAAAATGGGCATAGAAAGAACTCACCTACGTTTGGGCGACCGGCCGAGTGTCCGGGGCCCGTGAAGAAGCTGCCTGAGGAGGAGGCTGAATGCTACTTCCACTCCCGCCCCAAGAGCAGCCAGATTGGGGCTGTGGTCAGTCATCAGAGTTCCGTGATCCCAGATAGGGAGTATCTGAGAAAGAAAAATAAGGAACTGGAGCAACTCTACCAGGAACAGGAGGTGCCAAAGCCAAAATACTGGGGTGGCTACATCCTGTACCCACAGGTGATGGAGTTCTGGCAAGGCCAAACCAATCGCCTGCACGACCGGATCGTCTTTCGACGAGGCCTACTAACCGGAGATGCCCCTCTGGGGCCCATGACCCACCGAGGGGAGGAAGACTGGGTCTATGAGAGACTTGCGCCCTGACGCCCAATCTGTTGGCACTGAGTGGAGCTGGGGCCAGTGCCCCAGAGAGGGTATGGGATGGGGGGGCCAGACCCTTCTAAACTCAAGCCATTTCCCTTCCTGCCTCTTACATTCAGGGCCCTTCAGTGTTTACCCTCAGAATTCTCCGTAGTCAGCTAGTCTAGTGGAGTTTAACAGTGGCACAGACAATCACAAATGGAAAATCTCGTAATTACCTTCTCGACCTTAACTATGATTTATTGGAATAGCTCCCTCTAGGGGTGGAGCTGATGTGATTCCCTTTTCCGGTGACAGGGGGTGGGCCCCCAGCAGCCTTGTCTGTTATCACATGACAGAGTCTGGCCAGAGCCGATTGGTCCCAGCAGAAGCACCCGAGGCAATCTAGCCAATGGGTTTTTCTTTTCTTTCAATTTTGAAATTTGAAATCTAGAGACCCAGAGCATAGGAACCGTTGTAGCCGCCAAGTAAATAATGGCGGCCTAGAAACAGAAACTTGTGGCTGCTGCTCTTGCAAATTCCCTGAACGATCCATGGATCCCTCCTTCCCATGCTGGGGTTGTACAATTCCTCCTTCTACCTCAGAAAACCCCCATTGTCTCTTTTAAAAAAGAGAGAGGTGTGTTTTTTTTCTTGGCTTAAACCAGTCAGAATTGATTTGCTTGCAACGAAAAGAACCTTAACTGACTCACTTACTAGTAGGATATTTTTAAACCTCTTACCCAACTGATAGCTGCCCTTCATTATCTGAAGAGGAGCAATGTGGAAAAGAGACTAAATTTATTCTTTGTAGCTCCAAAGGACCCATAGGTGGAAGTTACATGAAGTTAGATTCTATCTCAGTATGGGAAGAAATTTCAATTGGGGCTGCCTCAGAGGGAGTAGGTTAGGTAGTGAATGTTCTGTCTCTGTCTGACAGGAGTTTTGTAGAAGAAACTCATGCTAGTACCTGTGGTCAGGAAGATTTTCATCAGGCCTTACTTTCCACATTTGTTTATAAAAACTTGATGTATGTGAGGGCTTTCCAGGTGGTACTTGTGGTAAAGAACCCACCTGCTGGTGCAGGAGATGTAAGAGATGTGGGTTCAATCCCTGGGTCTGGAAGATCCACTGGAAGAGGGCATGGCAACCCACTCTAGTATTCTTGCCTGGAGAATGCCATGCATAGAGGAGCCTGGTGGGCTGCAGTCCACAGGGTTGCAAAGAGTCAGACACGACTGAAGCAACTTAGCACAGCACATATGTATGTGAAATACATATATACATATATTTGTATGTATTTCTTTTTCCAGATATAAAATTAAATAATAGAGCTTATGCTTTTCTGACACGTATCCCTTTACCTCCTCGCCACCCCTACTGATGACGACTCCTAGGTCACTGGTTTTTACTGGAATTACCCAGGAGCTTTAAAAACCCTTCTGTTCAGTCCCACTCTCAAAGGTGATTTGACCAGTGTGAGTGCAGCCAGGACTTGGGGAAATTTCAAAGGTCCTTGGGAATTCTGTGCAGCCAAGGTTGAGAGCCCATGTTAATAGATCCTTGCTACTTGCAGTGTGGCTTCCCTTGTGGCTCAGGTGGTAAAAAAAAATCCATCTGCAATGCAGGAGATCTGGGTTTGATCCCTGGATTGGGAAGATCCCCTGAAGACGGGAAAGTACCCACTGCAGTATTCTGGCCTGGAGAATCTCATGGACTCTAGTCCATGGGGTCGAAAAGAGTCAGACATGACTGAGCGACTTTCATTCACTTGAAGTGTAGTCCACAGGCCAGCAGCTTTGGCTTCCCTTGGGAGCCTACCCAAGATCCATTGAATCCCACGCTGCTTTAAACAAGACCACCCCCGCTACCAGGTAAGCAGATTAGCCTCAACCTCTAAACCAACCATTTCTGCAGCTGGATTCTTTGGTAGCACTTGGCTGAGGCCTGTGCTGACCTATAGTCTTTGTCTTCTTTGAGCACAAGTCTGGTGACCAGGGATAATGTGGATGAGTGGCCTCCAGGCTGGGCAAATGTTTGCTGTGACTAAGGCAGGATCAGAGAACTGACTGTTTGCATACATTGGCCATTGAGCTTGCAACACTGTAAACTGTGCTTCATTCCACTGTATGGGTGTGTGCTTTGGCGTCTGTTACTGACTGCCTCCTCCAAGAGCAGCCCTTTGGGTGTTGACCACCCCCCACCCCCATCGGCTTCCTTAAGCCAGGGGATGCAGGAAGGCACAATGGGGCCACTTGCAGGAGAGGGTGCTGGAGTGCCCTTCCCCTACCTTGTCCTGTTATGTTATGGGGTCTGTGTATACCCCCTGCTTTGAGCCTGGTCTCAGCTGTTCCTTTCCTTTCCTCTGTCTGACAGTCCCTGTGCCAAGTCTAAAATAAAAGCTCATCAGCCATGCAAAAAAAAAAAGAACTTACCTCTACATAGTAAAGGCCAAATATGATAAGCCTATAGCAAACATTATGCTCAACTGTGAAAAAATGACAGCATTCCCCCTAAGACCAGGAACAAGACAAGGGTGTCCACTTTCCCCACTATCATTCAACATAGTTCTGGAAGTCCTAGCTACAGCAATCAGAGAAGAAAAAGAAATAAAAGTAATCCAGGTTGGAAAAGAATAAGTAAAGCTCTCACTGTTTGCAGATGACATGAAACTGTGCATAGAAAACCCTAAAGATAGTATCAGAAAATTACTAGAGCTAATCAGTGAATTTAGCAAAGTCGTAGGATACAAAATCAATACACAGAAATCATCTACATTTCTATATACTAACAATGAAAAATGAGAAAGAGAAATTAAGGAATCAATCCCATTCACCATTGCAACAAAAAGAATTAAATATCTAGGTATAAACTTACCTAAGGAGACAAAAGAACTGTACACAGAAAGTTATAAGGCACTAATGAAAGAAATAAAAAGTGACTTAAAAAGATGGAGAGATATTCCATGTTCCTGGATAGGAAGAATCAATATTGTGAAAATGATTATACTACCGAACACAATCTACAGATTTGATGTCATCCCTATCAAATTACCAATGACATTTTTCACAGAACTAGAACAAAAAATTTCACCATTCATATGGAAAAAGACCCCACAGCCAAAGTAGTCTCAAGAAAGAAGAGTGAAGCTGGTAGAATCAACTTTCCTGACTTCAGATTATACTACAAAGCTACAGTCATCAAGGCAGTATATTACTGGCACAAAAACAGAAATATAGACCAATGGTACAAGATAGAAAGCCCAGAAATATACCCATGCACCTATGGATACCTTATTTTTGACAGAGGAGGCAAGAATATACAAAGCAACAAAAAGCCTCTTCAATAAATGGTGTTGGGAAAACTGGTCAGCTACATGTAAAAGAATGAAATTAGAACACTTCCTAACACCATACACAAAGATAAACTCAAAATGGATTAAAGACCTAAATGTAAGACCAGAAACTATAAAACTCTTAGAGGAAAACATAGGCAGAACTCTCGATGACATAAATCAAAGCAAGATCCTCTATGACCCACCTCCTAGGGTAACCGAAATAAAAGCAAAAGTAAACAAGTGGGGCTTGATTAAACTTAAAAGCTTTCACACAGCAAAAGAAACTATAAGCAAAATGAAAAGATAACCATCAGAATGAAAGAAAATAATGGGACATGAGACAGTTGACAAAGGATTAATTTCCAAAATATACAAACAGCTCATACAACTAATATCAGAAAAACAAACAATCCAGTCAAGAAATGGGAAAAAGACCTAAATAAACATTTCTCCAAAGAAAACATGCAGATGGCCAAGAAACACATGAAAAGATGCTCCATAGCACTCATTATTGGAGAAATGCAAATCAAAACTACAACGAGATATCACCTCACACTGGTCAGAATGGCTATCATCAAAATGTCTACAGATAATAAATGCTGGAGAGGGTGTGGAGAAGAGGGTACCCTCCTACACTGTTAGTGGGAATATAAACTGAAACAGCCATTATGGAGAACAGTATGGAGATTCTTTAAAAAACTAGGAATAAATCTCCCATATGACCCAGAAATCCCACTCCTAGGCATATACCCTGATGAAACCAAAATTGAAAAAGACACATTGATCCCATTGTTCATTGCAGCACTATTTACAATAGCTAGAATATGGAAGCAACCTAGATGTCCATCAACAGATAAATGGATAAATAAGTTGTGGTACATATACACAATGGAATATTACTCAGCTATAAAAATGAACACATTTGAGTCAGTTCTAATGAGGTGGGTGAACCTAGAACCTATTATACAGAGTGAAGTAAGTCAGAAAGAGCAAGATAAATATCATATTCTAATGCATATGATAAATCTAGAAAAATGGTACTGAAGGACTTATTTTCAGGGCAGCAGTGGAGAAGCAAACATAGAGAATAGACTTATGGACATAGGGAGAGGGGAGGAGAGGGTGAGATGTATGGAAAGAGTAACATGGAAACTTACACTACCATATGTAAAATAGATAGCCAACGGGAATTGCTGTATGGCTCAGGAAACTCAAACAGGGGCTCTGTATCAACCTAGAGGAGTGGGATGGGGAGGATGATGGGAGGCAGGTTCAAAAGGGAGGGGACATATGTATACCTATGATGATTCATGTTGAGGTTTGACAGAAAACAACAAAATTCTGTAAAGCAATTATCCTTCAATAAAAAATTAATTAATTAAAAATAAACACAATAAGATAACAGTACATGCTATCAGCATGGCCAAAATCCGAAACGCTGAGAATATCAAATGCTGGAGAGCATGTGGCGCAACAAGACCTTCCATTCACTACTGGTAGGAATGCAAAATAGTGAGGCACTTTGGAAGACAGTTCGGTAGTTTCTGATAAAACGAAGCATATGATCCAGCAATCACACTCCTTGGTATTTATCCATATGACCTGAAAACCGTTGCTGCTGTTCAGTTGCTAAGTTGTGTCAGACGCCTTGTGACTCCATGTACTCAGCACGCCAGGCTTCCCTGTCCTTCACTGTCTCCCTGAGTTTGCTCAAACTCATGTCTGTTGAGTCAGTGATACCATCCAACTCTCTCATCCTCTGTTGTCCCCTTCTCCTCTTGCCCTCAATCTTTCCCAGCATCAAAGTCTTTCCAATCAGGTGGCCAAAGTATTGGAGCTTCAGCATCAATCCTTCCAATATGTATTGAGTTGATTTCCTTTAGGATTGACTGGTTTTATATCCTTGCTCTCCAAGGGACTCTCAGAAGTATTCTCTGGCATCATAATTTGGAAGCATCAGTTTTTCAGCGCTCAGCCTTCTTTATGGTCCAACTCTCACATCCACACATAACTACTATAAAAACCATAGCTTTGACTACATGGACTTTTGTCGGCAAAGTG